TTATTTGCTTTGTCTCTAATATTGCTATTTATGTTTTCGGCACAGTAATTTTTGATATACTGGTTATATAACACAGCATTCTCTTATGTGAATTGCCCCATAAAATTTCAGGCCGTTTTCAAACCACTTGAGTTTTGAATATTGAAATTTTTGTAAAAAGTCAATAACTGATCATCCGCCAAATCTTCCCCGTTTTGTAAAATAACTCTACATTCACGACATTTAAATCGGTCTAAACATTTTTTTACTAAGTAACAAGCAAGGTATACTACTGCGCAGGATTCCACTGTTGCAGAAAAATCATCTATTGGATCTGCAGGTGTATTTGATGTTTCTGATGCTTTACTTGACTCCTCGGTGGTCTCTAGAGAACTGTCCTCTACTGTATTAAAAATGTTTTCGTCCTCATCCAATGATCCTGGCATCCATTTCAGGCAATGTGATTTTGCCTGAAAAAGAAAAAATACTAATTGGTAACTCGATAAAACAACTTGTTCAAGTTTTTATTTTTACAAGATTTTATTTAGTTTCAGCTATTTCGGTATCTGTCCGTAATCAAATCTTACAAGTTAAATTTGACACACTTTCGATCATTCCATTGATTTAAAATTTGGTAAGTGTAGATAATTCCGATTAAAATGCATTATGAAATTTTTGTTAGAAAAAAACAAAACTAAATGGCGGCTCGATTATGGTGAACAACTTTTGTGATTATGGTCCAGTTCTATTCAAAACAACTCAATTAGGTAAATTTGCTGAAAAAATGCTGTCAAGTATAATGAATGAGTCAATTTCGGTCCCGACAAAACTAACGCTATAAATACCCAACATTCGCAGTTAACTTCAATATCTTACGATGGTGTAGAGGCTGAGGACACTGTCTACGGCGCGGACGATCCAGGTTCGAATCTCATAACTATAAACTTTTTTTAAATAAAATCACGTGACAAGGGGGCCTGAGCGCTGATGCGGAATCCCAAGGAGGCCGAGGGCGGAGTACTACGGGAGTTGATAGGTTAGGTAGAGTACCAAGGGGGCCGAGGGGCGGAGTTTCATGCTTGAATCGCTACGATACTCGTTCCATCCTGCGTCGATGACGTCACACGTTTCCGCCACTCCTGTTTGAACCAAAAATTGCAGAAAGTTCAGCTCCATAAGAAAATACATGGGATTTTGAGCCAGAACCCGCCTTGTTCATCTACTCATTGTCCTTCGGACTCCTCCGCAGGTTCCTCCTGCAGATCCGCCCTACCTGTTTCCTGAGGTTTTTCCCCCTTGAATTCCTCTTTTCCTCGTCCTCTAGGTGGTTCACAATCTTCTGCCGAAGACGTTTCCACACCCCTGACAAACCGGTGGCAAGTTCGCCCCTTCACGTCTTTCACCAGCTCCTTGGTATGCTGCAAGCTAGCCTTCACGGTCCTGCCAAGGCGCTTCACCTTTTCTTCCACCTTCGGGTCCCGCGTATCAATCGCGATGTCCTGTTGCTTCCAGGGAGGTACCGGTGGGTCTCTAGGCGCCACTTTCCGCATCCCTCGAAGTCTTTCCAGTTTCCGTCCCTCGTGGGCTCTGTTGGCGGTTCCTCTGCATGTGCCACGTCCTGATCGACCACCTCTTCCGGTGGCGAATCTTCATCATCCTCTTCATCGACGCGCACGTATTGTGGTCTTGGTAAGACCTTCCTGACCTGGCTCCTGATATCATCCAGATGAACCAGTTGGTCTACGCCGCCTCGTTCAATTTCGTAGGTGTCCGGACCTGCAATCCGGATGATTTTGTATGGCTCTGTAAGGGTCGGTGTGAAGTTGCCTCCCACGAAGTTCCTGACGAGTACCTCGTCTCCAACTTGGTACCGTCTGGGAGGTACCTTTTCCTTATCTGGAAACAACTTCCTTTGGTAGACTTCCTGCCCGCGTTTCGCCCTCTCGAGTCTTTCAGCTCTAGCTGCGAGTTGCTCTGGTAAGGGTCCTCGTCTATTAGGTATACTCCAATCTCCTGGTCTAGGTGGAGTATAACCCAAGAGTATATCTTCGTGGGCTCTGTTGGCGGTTTTATCTTCTCTTGAAGATGATCACTTGGTGATC